CTGATGACATTATTGCTGGAGGAGAACCATAGAGCAACCTGAAGCAAAGCAACTGTTGATTTGTTTCACGAAGGGAGAGGTCTGCACTGTTTCAAATGCTTTGCATGAAGTTTTGTTGGAGCAAAACCCCTCTCTGAAGCTTTGCACAGCCTCAGCCCTAATAAATATGACTCTCCAATTTTATTAATAATTTTTTATTTTTCCAAACTCTCCCCCATACATATACCGTAATATTTATCAGATGTTAACATACATTCTTTTTACATTCATATATACGATACTTTTATAAAATGAAATAAATACATACACATGACTTTTGGTGTTGCTCGCCCATTTCCCCTTTCACCGTATCCACACTCCTTCTTCTCTACCTTCTTTCTCCCTTTCTTTTCTTCCCTACTTCCCTCTTCTTCCTCTCCTCTCCTTCACCACTCTCCTCCCCTTTCTCCCCACTTCTCCTCTTCTCCTCCAACCTTCCTACTTCCTTCTCCCCTCCTTTACTCTTTTCTCTCTCCTCTCCTTTCTTCCCTCTCATCCTTCTTCAGATACAATTCAGGGGTAATGTCCGAGCAACTCCTCTCTCCAAATTTCCCTATCTGTATTATATACAATAAGATTAATACTTCTATTTATCTAACCTTCTCGGTATATACTTCTATAAACATTTATACAACCTCCAGTTATTCAGTACTGTGTCGCCTGGGTCTCTCTCCTTATCTGCTCCTTCTTCTTCCATCTAAATTGATGTTAACTATCTTTTAACTGTATTCTCTTTTCAGCCAATCATAAAAAGTTCCCCAGATTTCATAGTTGATTTTCAAATTTTAGCTGCAAGCTGTTGAGTGAAAACGAGGCTTAGAGATATACATGCTACAGTGGAAGCTTCCAGTATTATTATAACCACCCTTTTCTAGACTAGAGGACCTTGATAAGTCCTTGCACTAAAACTCCAGGCAGCTCCAACATGTCTGCACATTTCCACTTATCAAAGCCAAAGTTCCTTGGAAAATGCTGCCTATCCTTATACTTATCAACTGGTGACCTTATGAAGCAGGAGGGAGAGATAGGGAAGGAGCAGGATTAGTGTACAAAGAAAAGCAAACACATGTGCCAACTTGCTTTTTGGATTGCAGTTCAACATATACAGCTTGAATTGTACCAGAGTCATATCCTGTCACTTGCCTGTAATCTTGCCGAGAAGACCCATCTACTTGTATTGTGCAACCAAAGCAATGAGTCTGCTGTAGACACATCGGTGCCGTTAAATGTGTGAAGAGAAACTTGATTAAGAAACTCCAGCTAGGCTCCATTTCTTGTTTCAGAAGTCTTGTTTCTTTGTTTTTGGGGGACAGCTGTTCTCAAGCATATCAAGCTGACATAAAATTACAAATCTTAAAATATCTGTGACTTGAAATCAGGGAGCAGAAGAAACACCATACCGCTCAGAAAATGTTGCTTTATCATGAGATGCAGTTCTGACATGATTACTGAACTCTTACTGGTTATGGAAATGGGTAAGAAAGTCAAATGTGTAAGGAAGAACCGAAAGGAGCGTGAAAGCCCATGGGGGAACCTGTTTGTTGGAGACAGGAACATCTGTGTTGCCTTTGGATCAAACCTAACTGATTTTAACTATGTTTCAGGCAATTTACTAATCATTAAGCTGCCCAAATAGTAATATAATATAATTAACTTGGCACAGCACAGCACAGCACAGCACCGCACAACACAACATAACAACATAACATAACATAACATAACATAACATAACATAACATAACATAACATAACATAACATAACATAACATAACATAACATAACATAACTGTAAGGACCCACCCCACTTTGCATCTTAAGAAGACAGAACTCTTGGAATATTTCTTCCAACAGGCATCCTTTATTAAGAGAAAATGGTTGCAGGCATTCTAGACAGGACCTAGGGCCCAAGCCTTATGGTTCAAGGTTTTAAGGGGTCCCCAGCAGCCTCACCCCACCCCACCATCTTTCCAGCGACAATCCCAGGCGTTACATTTCCACCCCCTTTTTCCTCACTGGATTAGATGAAAGCTAATGGCCTCATTGTTATGGTTAGTCCTTTTGGTGGTATCCACATCCAGTCTCTTTGAAGTGTACTGAAGGAAGTGAGGGCCATAAAGCCCCTTTGTTCACCCCCTTCCCTTCATCGTATGACAGAATCCAGAGAGGGCAGAAATGAGGTTTTCCATAGTCGATAACTAGAGATGAAATATAATTGGATTCTGACAATAACATAATATCCTAAGTGATGAGCCCTCTCTGATTTAGAATCGTGGCTGGAAGTGATGGTGTTCTAAAGGTTTTAATGTAGAACATGTTAAGGGAACGTGTTAGATTCCCCTAGTTTTTTAGTTTTTTTCCTCTCCAGTGTGTGTGTGTGTGTGTGTGCCTTCAAGTTAGTTTTTGACTCCTGGCGACTGCCTGAACAAGTCCCTGCAATTTCCTTAGCAAGGTTTTTTGGAAGTGGTTTGTCATTGCGTCTTTCCTAGCCTGGATTTAGATCTAGGAAGCATGTTGTGTAAATGCAGCCCAATTATTCCATGATTTCCCATAATTCATAACAAGATAAGGCTGAACTCTTACTGCAGGAATGAAATATGAGACCATTAAATTGAAAACTGGTAGGCTGACTCAGATGGAGGGAATGCATGAGAGATACAAAAATACAACATGCTCAAAGGAACAGAAGCAACAAAAAATGGAAGGAATTGTGCTGGATGGTGATCAAAATTGAGAGAGAGAAAAAACAGCTCCAGCAGAAGAGGATGTGATACTATGGTGGCAAATATCCACTCACATAAAACCTCAGCTGAACTTTCCAGAGCCTTTTCAAAAATTGCCACTGAATGTTAATTTTTAAAGAAAAGAAGGGGTAAAAATAAATACACTGGGGGGAAATTCCATTCACCACATTTCAGTTTTTGAAGTGAATTGGACTAGTGTTTCTGTGGATATGCAATAAAATCAGATTGAGTTTTGGCCCTGGATCCACGCCCCTCCCAACATTAAAAAATAATAAAGATGGGATAATAAATAAATAAAATATTCTAATCGAACTTAAGGCACTTGGCTAGAAACCGGAAGCTCTGAGTTCTAATTCTGTTTTAGGCAAAAAGCCTACTGGATGACCTTAGGCCAGTCACTCTCTCTCAGCCCTAGGAAAGAGGCAAGGTCAAACCACTTCTGAAAGAAAACTGCAGTGACTTTGCCAGAAGTCAAAAACCAAGTGGAAGGCATCTAAGAAAAATAAAAGCCATTGAAGGGAAACTAATGAAACATCTGCAGGAAAGCAACCAAGCTCAAACAGCACCAGAAACCCCACAGTAGGCAAATATTGGAACAATACATTTGGCCACAAGAATTGCAGTAAATGTCAAAGATTTAATTTATGGGGAGCTGATTTCTGGGAAAATCCAAGAATAAGATTTCCTGCATGAAAAATAACATTTGGACTGTTGTGACTTCCTTAAACACCCTGAACTGGGTGTAGCAATGCATATGTAGAGTTCGCCTGCAACACTTTCAAGCAGCTGCATCTTTTCCCAGATGCTCCAAGATGCAGCTTTCCAGGAAGCTGGAAAAAAAAACCACAGCTGCTTTAAGGCATTCAAACCAAAATTTTATGGTGGACATAATGCAGCACAAGGAGGGTGGGACCAGTGTTGGGATTCAGCCGGTTCGCATCACTTTGGCTATTTTTTTATTGCCCAGGCCCAGAATGGACTTCTGGAAGCAGCATCCACACAGAGAACCAGTTCTTCACATATTTGAATCCCACCACTGGGCGGGATGGAATCAATTAAAAAGCATAGAAGATACGTCAAAAAATATGAAAAACGAGAAGATATAAAATTGCAATCTTTTGACCATGGGACACTGCAAATGATGGTAAATGTGGGCCAGTTGCCCAGAACCCAAATGCAGTCATGTGACCACAGGGCCCTGCGGCCATCTGAGCTTTGGACTAGGGTCATTAAGTATCTTTGGGGATGGGATATGTCATAGCTTCAGTCACTAAGCAACCAGTCGTAAGCTCAAGACTACCTCATTGGTGGGATTCAGCAGGTTGGCATCAGTTCGGCAGAACCGGTAGCTATTTTTTTTGTTGCCCAGGCCCTGAATGGACTTCCAGAAGCGGCATCCTCACAGAGGACCGGTTGTTCGCATATTTGAATCCCACCACTGGACTACCTGTATTAAAACCTGAAGTATATATAAAAAACAAGAGTCAAAAAGTATCTAAAAGAAAGGATAGGAGGATTTGATTGGTGTAGTGAAGTATTAAAGGTTAGTATGTGGAAGAATATATCTAACCAATTACAGAGCAATCTACTATGGTGAACTGGGTGCTCACTAAGTCTAGTTTATGGCACAGGTCATCACCTGATGAATTTTGATTGCTGCTGTGTAGAACATTTAAAGCAGGGGTCCCCAATCCCCAGGCCGTGGGGCATGGCCTATTCTGAATTGGGCCATGTGAGTGACTGGCTGGAGTTTGTGCACACAGAGCTCAATGTGCATGAGCGGCAGACCGGCAGGCACTCATGTGCCTGTGAGGTAGATCACTGCTCGTGCAAGGGCTGCATGCATGAGCCAGCCAACCACTCACAGAAGGTTGTGTGCGTGTGCATGCTAGCCGGCTGCTCGTGCAAAGGTTGGTAGGTACATGCCACCCTGCCACTTCCAAAAGAGCTGCATATGTGCACACATGCAGCGGCCCACACCTTGTGTGGCCCATTTCCCATCTCTCCCCCCTTCAGCCAGACTGCCAAGCTGCAAAGTTTGAGGACCACTGATTTAAATCATTTGAACATTTGCTTTTCACTGCAGTAAAAATATGGGGACTTTCCTTTCTATTAAATATAAACAAGATTACTCTGCTCTTTTTTTGTTTTTCAGTAATGTGGAGAATCCAGTCATGGAGAATGTATCAGGAAATAAAGATCACAACAGTTTTACAGCATTGATTTATTGATTGATTTAACGCCAAGAAGTGCTCAAAGTAGCCAACGAAAGCCTCTTGCAGAATCAACGCATTCAAGTGCAGGCCCAGATCTCACTCATTTGCATGAATCTTAAGGGCTCAAGCCAGGTAGAGATCAAGGTAAAAGAATATAACTCTCATAAATAAATAAATAAATAAATAAATAAATAAATAAGAGTAGTCCAGGCCATATCTCATTTTCATCTATGAAATATTGAGGAGAATTACAGTTGAATAAGAGAAGCTGGGTTGGCTAGATAGGAGCACTAGAGAGCAGGTGGGGATTTTGGATATTCAGAGGGCTAAGGATTGTGCAAGCTGTAGTTCCAAATATCTTCAGGAAATTTAATTTCCTCACTTGGTTGAATCCTTGAAGATAGCTCTGGAAAGTTAGTGCTGAAATGTTATGGGACTAGAGGGGAAATGCTCAAATATATAGGAAATATTTAATTTAACTAATTATAATTAAACTTACGTAAGTTAATTCAAATGTCATTGTGAAGCCCAGCATTTAAAGGCCAACTCTAGAATAAAATGAAAAAAAAAAAAATGGACAAAGGAATGAAAAAGTATCCTATTACTCACATTAAGACCATTCCATTGTTTTCCTTGACAATATAAAGGCAATTGATCAGTTCATTGAACAAGAGGCCCAGTCTGGTATAGCAGTAGTGGTTAAGATGTTGGATTTGGATAGGGAAGACTGAAATTCAGTTTCCTGTTTGACTATAGAACAGATTGGATGGTTTTTGCACCAAGTCACAGCGTTGTTGTTTTGATGATAAACCAAAAGGAGAGGAGAATCCATAGATTAGATCTTAAACTCCCAGAAGAAATATAAATTATGTGCATGTAAAGAAACAAACAAATAACCCTGGCTAAAAAGATATTGTCCAGTCAGTCAATGGACCTCCTGTGACCTTCATCTAGGGATCTTTTGATATCATAGAGCTGCATCACACATGAGATTTATCACTTGATGTGGATGGGTTATTGCCAGGGAGAACTTTTAGAAGCTTAAAAGTTGGCTCAGGTGCAAGGCTTTGAAGTTCTCATGCTCCAATGTTGGTCATCAATTCAGTTCATGTGCATATGAATGAAACGGTACCTCTAACCAAAGCTTTGGGGTAAAGCTGTATGACACCAACAATGTTACCTCTAACAAAGGCTTTTGGGTAAAGCTGTAAGATGTGACCCTCATACAGTGCCTGATTTTTAATGGATCTCATACAATGTCTATTTGCGGACTGCAATTAAAGTGATGTACAGAGTCCACAGAATGAGCCCGATGCCAACTGACCAATAGATAAATATGCGGGCCAGCCTGGAATTTTCTCGAGCAGCTGTATGGTTCCCATTTCGGTTGGATTCTTGAGTCTGTGGAGAAAGAGACACAAGTATCAGATTGGTGAGCAGTTGAAACTGAGAAGCATCTCCAGAAATAAGGTGGCCAGCAGTATTGTGGAATAATCAGCTGACTTGGGACAAACAACCCACTTGTTTGTCAGGTATTATCACATCATTATGTGATAGATTGACACAAGCCTTGCAAGATGAAGCTTACTTAGATCTCAAGGTTACGGGATTTTATTTTTGCCCCAAACTAGAATCTGATTGGAAACAGATATCAAATTCTGGTTCAAAAACTTAACATATCCTAGAATTAAAGAACTGAATGTCTTTGCGCATATATGAAGTTAGAAATAACTATTACCAGGGCCAAACTCATAAGCTCTTGTAGCAGAGAAGAAAACAGAATAACAGAATAACAAAGTTGGAAGAGACCTTGGAGGTCTTCCAGTCCAACCCCCCCCCCCACTCAGGCAGGAAACCCTATACCATTTCAGACAAATGGTTGTCCAATCTCTTCTTAAAAGCCTCCAGTATTGGAGCATTCACAACTTCTGGAGGAAAGTTGTTCCACTGGTTAATTGTTCTGACTGTCAGGAACTTTTTTCTTAGTTCTAGGTTGCTTCTCTGCTTGATTAGTTCCATCCTTTGCTTCTTGTTCTGCCTTCAAGTGCTTTGGAGATTAGGTTGACCCCTTTTTTTGTGGCAGCCCCTTAGATATTGGAACACTGCTATCATGTCACCCCTAGTCTTTTAAGAAGAGACTGGTCTGAGATGGTGTAGGTTCTCCTGCTTGAGCAGGGGGCTGGGCTAGAAGACCTCCAATGTCCCTTCCAACTCTATTCTATTCTAAGATTCCTCTCCCCTTATTCATCAAGCAAAAGTGAAATGAACAGGTTAAACAAGCAGAATGAGATTTTAACTTCAAGTTTTCTTAATATGAAGGAGAAATCAAAATATGTCACTAACTCTCAAAATACAATGGTCTTCTGTATTGCCACTATACCTATGATCTATAATCTATTTAGATAGATCTATCTATCTCTGTCTGTCTATCTATCTATCTATCTATCTATCTATCTATCTATCTATCTATCTATCTATCTATCTATCTATCTATCTATCCATCTATCCATCCTCTATTTATCACCTATCATCTATCTATCATCTATCTATCCATCCATCATCTATCTTTCTAGTGATTTAATATTGATGTTCAAATCCTTCCCCCAACAAAGAGTTAATTGGATAAAATTGTGCCATTCATTCTTTCAATTCAAGGTACTTCAAAACAGGTGTGTGGTATGGTTGAAAGATGGGGACTCTACTCATGCCTCCCACTTTGAGCTCCTAGAGGAAAAGCAAATCACAAAATTTGACAGAATACGAATGAAATAATGAAAGGAAAGGAAATGAATGAAGAATTATAGTAATAATACAAATACCGTAAGAAGGAAAAGCAGGCAACTAAGTGGAAATATAATGATACCAAATATTCTGTTCCTCTGCAAATGCCATCTACTTTATATTCTCTTATTTGTCCCCTTACTAATCTCCTTCTCTGTAGCAGTCAGCCCCCTAGGGACATCCCCATAGTAGTGGAACTACAAAAGGGGCTCTTGATGAATTGGAGCTCATCTACTTTAAACCACATGATTCTGTTCCCTTCATTTTTCCAAATATAACTAAGAGGGACTTTGGAAAAACTAAAAAGTCCACGCTCCCTGCCGCCTGCAGCACCCGTTCCCGGAGAAACTTACTTTTATAGAATAAACCATGGCCACAAACTCACCTTTATGGAATAAATCACAGCCACAATTCCAAAGGGTAGGAAACAGCAGAACATGGTGCAGATGGAGTAGCGCAGGTAGTCAGGCTCACTGGTGGTCTGGACATGTGAAATAAAGATATCCTCCTGAGACTCAACAAATAGATCTTGACAAGCCTTTGCAGAAGGTGGACCTTGATACATCTGATATTGGGGTGGTGATGGCATTGAGGATGCTGCCCCATAGCCCAGAGAGGGTGCTAGCTCATGGAAATTAAGCGAATCAGACTCTTCACGAGATTTTTGTTCAGGATAAGGAGACGGATTTGGGGGGACAGGAATATGGGTTTCATAGCTTGGGTTGGTCATCGTGCAGAGCTGCTCTCTCTTCTTCTTTTGTCACTGTCAATGGAGTCCTATCTTGGCTTTTGATTTTCTTCCACTTCAACTGCCCTGGTGAGTTGCTTAGGTTTTCTCCTTGGTGGTACCTAATGTCTGTTTTCCAACTCTTGCTTCTGTTCTTCTCTTGTACTTGGCAAGCTTTCTAAATCTCTCTTGTGCTTGATGCATACTGTATAATGCAGTTTGCTTCCTTTTTATCTTGTTAAGAAACTGCTATGGATTGCTCTGGTTCTGCAGCGGGATGACATCATTGTGTCTTGAGGATCAGGAGAAAGAGTGGGTGGAATAAAGAATCAGGCAGACGGGATGAAGAGATTGATGGGCACTGGACACGTCCTATGGAAAGGTGTACCGTGCTGGAGTTTGATAGGATGCAGAACGTCTATTAATCCAAAGGCTAATTAAATAAGCCCAAAGAAAATAAAATCCAAATAAACCAGGTTTATTTGGGTATGTTCAGAATTTCATTACAAAATTAATGGGGCAATTTTGGATGGGTCGGGGGGGGGGGGAATGCTGAAATGAAAGGGAGGCAGTTTACAGACCAGTAGTTAGTGCTGGTGGAGAAAAATCTGGGCTAAGAAATTTTAAGAAATACATTTTAAGAAATACAATTTCATAGACCCTCCCATCCAGAATTCTCCAAAATGCAAATAAGAAAGAGCCAATCCTTTTGTTCTAAGGAGTATAAAACACATGTTGGCAGGCCATATATGACCCCAGGCCATTGTTTTTGTGTCCCTGTTATAGATGGACAGACTTTCATATATGCACACACAGATGCACAGATATTGTGTCTTGCACCTCTTCATAAGTGAAGAATAACAGTTCCGGAAATGTTCCAGGGATCCATCATTGACTTTGTGGAACCCAACTGCTCAATGTCCTAAAATCTGGGAAGAACAATCCCAGCAGATGAACAATCAGTCTCTCTTTGAAATCTCCATCAAGAAAAAGACTGTTCACCTTCAAAGTAATTTTCCTGGTAAATTGTTTTCATATTCAAGACTCAGATGAAAGGTGCAAACAGAGTAATTATTATGAATTCAGGTTGTATCATCCATCTCATCTAAACAACTCTGGGTAGTTTACTGTAGACTATAATGTACAATTCAGTGATACATTCCCATTAGACTTTACGCTGCTCCCTGGGGGCACAGACTACCAGTCTTTTCTACCCCCTGAGTGGCAGAATCCTACCATCTATAGCTCCATTTTCCATGTTTTTAATTGAAAGATCTTTGTGGTCTTCAGCTGGACTAATTCATTTTGCCCATAACATTTTCTGAGAGAAGCGGAAGAGAAAAACCAATAAGTGCTGCATAAAGGAGAAATATTTCTTTTTGTGACTTGGAGATTCTGCTTCCATTACCATCATTATTAATTACATTGCACCATTTTGTTTTGAAGTAGTCTCATACTGCTGATTCAATCAATTTATTTGAATTATGCTTTGCATGGAATATGATGCCAGTGCATTGTCTGTTCCTGCCTAGTTTTCCATTCTGCAAAGTTACTGAGAGTTAATAAATTTTTCCCATGTATTTTTTTTTAATGAAAATTTTTTACATTTTACAAAAACAAATCCCCTTCCCATACCCCCCCAACCCTACCTCACCCCCCCTTCCCAACCTCCCAAACCCTCCCCTGGACTTCCCAGAGCTGAGTACAGGCTTAATTAAAAAAAAAAACAAACTTAAAACACTTTTAAAACCTAAACAAATTTAAATACAATCATCATTCTATATAAACTCCCTCCAAAATTTTTTCCCATGTATTAACTCTCTCCCTGCTTATGGTCATTTATAGATCTGATTTCTTCCAGTCTATCTTGATAAGGCACCTCTTCTGAGACATTTACCACCTTCCCATTCTTCTGCAGGCTCAGCTGCTTCTTATCTAACCATTTTTGAATCTTTGGCTCTTCCTCCTACCTCCCAAATGTCATGGTTCCGATATATGAGAGCAGCAAAAAGAACTCCAAGGCAAACAAAATTCCTTAAAGAACATATTTATTTGGCTACATAATATCAGCACATTCAAAAGTGAACCCAAGACTGAAACAACCCCCCCCCAGGTTACAAAGTTACAAAGTGAAACTTCCCACCCCAGTAGTATGTAATAAATCATATTCCGCAATTAACTATTTGCATGGCTTTCTAACGACAGTTACAGCTTGCCAAAATGCAGTTAGCAATGACCTTGGTTCCCACAGAACAATTTATTGTTATGTCTAAGATAAAACACTCATCCCCCCTCCCAATTCTGTGGCAACTGAAAACGAAGGAAAAATGGCTTCAGCTAACTTCGTTGTAGAGTTGACACACCAAGATCATTCCCCTGTACCATTACATGTACCAACCCTTAAAGTTCTCCAAACTGGTTTAAAGCTATAGTTTTGAATGCCATTGGCGGGATGCTTGGAAAGAATGGCTGTCAGCTTTTCTAGGTAGATTGGATAGGAAACATCACTGGATGAGCTGATTCTGCAGTATCGGAAGGCTACATTAACAGGACCTTGTAAGCCTGAAAGTACAAATCTCCCACTATCACCTTTAAAGTCTGAGAAGTTACGCTTCTTCCTGAGCCTCTTTCTCTACCCATTATGAAGCTGCAGGCTATGCCTTCTCTTATCTGACCATTCCCTAGGCAGCATCTCTGGGTGTCATTTTTTAGGTCTTTCTTACATAACGCCCAGTGGTGGGATTCAAATATGTGAACAACCAGTTCTCTGTGTGGATGCCTCTTCTGGAAGTCCATTCTGGTCCTGGGCAACAAAAAAGTTAGCTACTGGTTCTATCGAAGTGGGTGCAAAGTGGCTGAATCCCACCACTGGCACTGTCTCTAGACAAGATGGGTGGCTCTTAAGTTTAATAGGTAAGTAAGCAAGTAAGTAAATAAATAAAAATATCTTTTTGAATGGATGAATTTAAGGGCATGAAAAGCAATGGATGGGAGGCTTCCATTCTTGTTTCTATTTTAATTTGGGGGGGAGGAGGGGAAATAAAACCACACTGCTGAAGTTTGGCTACTTTGCTGTCAGGTTTTAGTGGTGGGAATCTTTATTTATTCAAAACATTCATATGGCCACCCCTCTTGTACCAAACTGGGTGGCCCATATCCAAAACATAAAACAACATCTACTTCAAGTAAAATTATTAAAACCCAAAGACCTGAACGTTTCCATGTAAACCACAATAAGCTCACTTAACTAATCTCACCCTATCCCAGGGCTTGCAAGAACAGCCAGATCTCGAGTCCTCTTCAGAAGGTTAAAAGGGTGAGGACCTGCCAAATTGCAGGGGGATGGAGGATCCATTGGGCAGGAGCTGCAATAGGAAAAACATGTTTCCTTGGTTCCAGTAAGACAGCAACATTTCAGGGGAGGGGGCTAGGAGCATCCCTACCCTATCTGATCTGGCAGGAGGGGTAGATGCCCTTAAGAAAAGGTGATTTCACAAATCATCTGTTCATTTTTGGAATGCTGAAGGCTACTGACTGGAAACCAGTGGGCTTACGTAACTTGTGGTCTTTGCGTTGCCACCCCCCTTGTCTGTGACATATCTAGCCTTGCCTTCAAAAACGGTATTCACAATGGGTCTGTGAGGCAGGGGGGCCCACAGAAGACCCCTGAGATGAGGCAATAGGTCGAAGCAGCTGGCTGCCAAGAATGCTGTGTTCCCCTCCCCCATGAAATCTGTGACTGATCCTGGGAGGTGGCTGAGGACTCTGGGTGCCATGTTGGAAAGGAAAGGAAAACAAGGCTGAAATGATTGGCAATGTTTGCAGAGACTTCTCACGAGCTGAAGGTTCTTGGAGGCCTCAGTTCAGTGGAAGGATTGCAGTTAAAGGACTTGTCTGGATAGATTTTTCATTTCCTTACGGAGAAAGTACAAAAGTTCTTTGCCCTTTGTTTTATAAGACCTCTATTGCTTTATAGATCAATCTCTCCTTGGAAACCAATGTGCTTCAAGGGCAGACCTGCTCCCATCGTGCAATTCTTCCCTTCAGCTAGAAATTCAAGCCAGCCAGGGCAGAAAAATAAATAAATAAATAAAATTAAAATGTGCTGAAAGGAGTCAGAATGCTTTGCACATTGCAAAATGTGTACTGCAAGCCAAAGTAGGCATTATAATAATTACAGGGCTTGGACCCAAGCCCGTTTTTATATTTTATTTTATTTTATTTTTCTTAAATACCAAGTAGCCATTTCAATTAGGAATTGTGGTGTTGGATGAGGAGTGCTTTCACTCTTCCCTATTTCTTATGAAAATAATTCTTACTCCACTGCAGTTAGTATCAGAATAACCAGGGATGGGCCTGGTTCCCTAGACTGCTTGGATCCGAAGTCCCATAAGCCTCAGCAACCTTGGCTAAGGAGTTTCCTGATCATGGGAAGCATAACTCCATGTAGAGGGCATCAAGCCTGATTATTCCAGGGAAAAATAACTCTCATTGGCAAGATATTGATTTTAGAAAACACTTAGGTGATTTTCCATCAAAGGAAAGGTTACAGTAGTTTGCAGTTGTTTTAACATTCAAACATTTTCTGCAGGGTGTGTATGCTATGAGTGGACCCAATAGATATTTTCAGTTGGTGACCAATTAAAACCTTACTGGTATCAGACAAACAAAAATATGCACATACAAAAATAAATAAAACAGATGCGACCCAGTTAAACTAAGCTCTCATTCTGCCCCCGATCAAAATGCATTATAATTTCCTAATTTTATCTCATTTAACAAATTCATCCTTCTGTCCCGTCTTTCATTTTGACATTTCTGATTTCCATTTATTTTCACATCTCTCTGGGGAATTTTGAGAGTTGAAAGTCCACACATAAGAGCCAGAACACAAATTAGCATTTATTTCATTTATAAATTTACATAAGATTCAACCAAACAGTCTTCACAGGATTACACTTCATGCATTTAATAAAGTCTTGCTTTGTATTGTATCAGTGCAGTACACAGTTGTCAGCTTGCAGAAGGGCAGATGCTATTTGGATAACACATAATAATTTTCAACAATAAGAGCAATGTGACAATAACATCAATTATACAGAAAAAATGAGACAGGGATGTTCTACGATCACATTAAAGTTTATAATTTAGAATCAAATGTGTGTCAGGATTTGGAAAGCTACATGAAGATACCAAATTGTTCACTTTTGATTGATGATAACACTGTG